GGACAGAATCGAACAAAATTTTGATAGAGTATTGCCATGACACCTGTGCCTATAATAGGGTAAAAAAAAATTGGGATCCGACCGTCCATAGGCGTGAAATTTTTAATCAGCCATAACTTCCAGACCATAAGTCGCATGAACTTGAAACTTGGTATGCAGACATGTCAATGATAGATGCTTATAGGCAGGTATATATAAACGAGTTTGTAAAAGGGGGCGTGGCACCTCCTATACGTGTGAAACTTTAATCAGCCTTAACTTCCGGACCATAAGTCACATGAACTTGAAACTTGGTATGCAGACATGTCAATGGTAGATGCATATAGGCAGGTATATATAAAAGAGTTTGTAAAAGGGGGCGTGGCACATCCCATAGGCGTGGAATTTTTTATCAGCTATAACTTTGGAACCATAAGTCACACGAACTTGAAATTTGGTATGCGGACATATTCATAGTAGGTGCTTAAAGTAGGGTATATATAAACGAGTATGCAAAAGGGGGCGGGGCACATCAATCAATGGTAGGTGCTAATAGGAGGGTACACTGAGAAAAAAAAGTATTCATCTATTAGATAACTCGAATATTTAAAACTGTGTGTTTTTATTTTTGAAACCTTACCCTCTTTAGATTATTTTGAAATGGAAAGATTAAATCGTTTTTTAATCGCGCGATGCTGGTAAACGAAAAGGTTCATTCATAATGAATAAACCTCCTTCCGAATTAAGCATTCTACCAGAAAAGTGCAGCTATACAAAAAAGCTAATCCAATAAGCAGCTAAACGGAATTTACCGTAGTAGACTAATTTTAATTTAGAAATTTGATCGTTACTCCGCCTAATATTAATAATGGAACAAGATTTGTAGCACAAGTGATGATCAATATATATTAGTTAAGGCACGATAAAGCTAAAAGTATGGCTCACAAGGATGCCTTAATGTAAACAAAGAAAATAGTTTGTCTCCTTTAAATTATGCTGAACTGAATATTTGTATTACTGTTTTATATTTTTATTTGTTTACCCCGAACGACGTCGGGTGCTCTGCTAATAGTAGATATACATCCTCCTCTTATCGTAAAATAATATTTGGGGATATCTCGGCCACAGGGCCACCTATCGTGTAGGTTTTAAGTCCAAATATTTTTTTTCAATTTGCTAAATTGTATTCTAAATATGAGCCAGATCGGCAAGAAAATGCACTTTTGGTCAGAATATTTCTTTTATAGGTGCTGACACGGGTTCCAAATATCAACCAGGTCGGGCTAGCCGTTTAGTAGTTTAGTGATATTTAATGTACAGAAAAATCTATGAAATTGTGAAATCGTGATGTCTCAGCATTCTTCATTTTTCGGCAACAACAACAAAAAGTTTCAATTTTTTTTTTTAATCGAAAAACCTTCCACACAGAAGTTCCAAAAAAGTACTTCTTATAGAATTGAAATCGGTTCAGCCGCTTGGTCAGGCATCGCGGCCATACGAAAGACATTTCATTTTTATATATGTAGATTTTATTTATTTCAAGCCAGATTAACAAATCCACAACTACATTTTTCAAACAACTAAAATAATTCGTGTTTATGTTGCTTTCATTCTAAAACTTTGAAAGCAAAAAAGAAATACGGAAATATAAACCTTGGTGAAAAAATGTATTTGTGGATTGTTGTTCAAGGACATACATATGGACATATATGTATATATATATGGGATGTTGCGAATATTTGCATTTGTATTCGTTATGGCAATGATTATCATCATTAAACACATTCGCATTCGCATCAAATGATACGAACGTTTTGCGAATGCGAATGTGTACATGGGCAGAGAGTCCACTCTAATATTGTTGAAATGGCTCTAAGTCTGTCTAACCAGGGTGGGGATAATAAGAGGCTTTTACCGGCTACCGAGTATAAAAGCTTTACTTTTACTCTGTATTTTATATAAAACCAAAAAATATGAATAAAAACTGTCAACGATCTCAATTAAAAGTTCAAAGATTGATCCTTTGATACTTAAATTTTTTTTCATGATACTTTTGATCCATTTTAGGGAATTTTGGTGATACATTTCTTCTGAACACCGCGGCAAAACTGTTGATGGGACTTCAACAAGTACTGGTAAAAGTTTTATAAGCAACCTAGAAATAATTTTAGATTTCTCCAGCGAAACCGAAGGCTCGGATGTAGAATCTGGAGACATTAAAAAATGTGAAATTAAAGCTCAATTGAATTATCTTAAAGAAAAACGAGCTCATCTCGATTGGTGGAAAACTATACTAAAATACGACAAATTGACAAATATGGCCCGCAAATATTTGAGCGCTCCACCCGCCAACGTTCCAAGTGAGCGATTGTTCAGTGCAGTCAGCCTTATATACGAGCCTCTAAGAAATCGCCTCACGGGAGAAAAGGCTGTAAAATTCCTTTTTTTGATATGTAATATGCCCCTTTTGAACTTTGGCTACTAGATTAAAACGCGGTATAGGTTAAGCACTCGTTCAATATTCTAATAATTTACAAAAATTTTAAGCAATAAAAACGATGACTTAAGTTGATTATAGCTTTTTTAACGCTACTCCTAAAATTCGCATTCGCATTCGCGAATGTGAAAAGTATGACATTCGAAACATCTTTAATATATATGTATGAAGATATTGGAAAATAAGCCTAGGCAAAGAATAAAGGCCCGTCCATATATCTGTGTTCGTATGGAAAAGTAGCTTATGTCGAAAGGCTGACTTTAATATAAATCGGTATTTGCAGTATACGATTGCGAATGACTCGCTGGCGCTGAGCCGTTGAACAACTTTTAGCAAATAAAAGTGCAAGAAATAGTTCCGATACTAGCAAGTCAATATTCTTATTAAGTCTCATCCAAAAATTCCTTGTCGTTCAAACAATAAAAGCAATGCCGCATTATACTAAAGCCAACCTTTCGACATAAGATACTTTTCTATACGAACACAGATATGTACAACTTTGGCTCTGCGTTGGCGTTGGCGCCGTTTCAACAGCTGACTATAAATACATGAATTTCAATGCAGCCGTCCACATAGCCAAAATTTGGCAACGCTTACGTCAACACAAAGCAGAAAAATAGCCAACTCTCAACTTTCCGTGTGCGTTGCTCGTCAGCTGTTGCAAATACATGAATAAAATTATGTGAAATATTTTTCGCTTTTAATCAAATGAGGGCAAGCAATATCGTTTTTCATGCAATTATTGATATGAAATACTAATTTATATGTCGTTAATATGTTAATTTACATTTACATAATACATTTGTATACTAATTTGCAACTTTCTATTCAGATTTTTCGAAAAATTCTGACAATGCAGTTTTGTAGCCCATTCAATTTTAGTATAACAAAGTTCAAGTTTAAATTTGGCAGTTTATTGAATTTTCCTGAGTTTTTCACAAAGTTTAGAGATTTTATTTTTATGTGTTTTTGTGTAGAATGAACTATGTTTTTATAAAAAATTAGGATTAAAATCTTTGCATATATTGCGGAAAATTTTCTGCCCCAATACGTGTGTACGTCACTCTATGTGGAGTATAAGTATTTATTTTATCTCTAAATACAACAAATGAGTTGCTTTGTTTTCTGAATATTATAGATATTTCTTCAACAACTGAATTGAAAAACTATAATTTTTTACTGAAATCTACTTCAGTTTAAACAAATAAACCGGTGAGGGAACGCTGGTTGCAGATGCGCTTGGCCAAAATAAGTCCGGACTCGCTCTTTGTATTGCGCGACAGCGTTCAAGTAAAAGTAGCGGTTTTTCATGTTGCGATCCATTTTTTTCTCAACAGAATATTTTAGAGAGTAAAATTTTTCATATATGGTTTTTTTTCTGTGTGAAAAAGCGGTGGAGAAGACTATTATTTTTATATTTTTAGCAACAATTTGCCCTTAAAAATTATTTTTAAATAAATAAGACCTATATTCTTGAATAATTTTTAATAACAATGAAAATGACGGTTAAATTGAACAGGAAAAAAAAACACTTGTCGATATATAAGAAAAAAACAATTTTTTTCTAAAATCAAGGTTAAAATTTGTTTGCACTGCCAATATCTATGAAAAAATACCACTGTTGATTGGAAATTAAATATCATATAATTCAAATGGCCCCTTTCAGAAATTCTGACTCATATTCATGTGTATATTTTAATCTTCTTATGTTTAAAAATCCAACTTCAACATCTTTAAACAGGTTTTGGTTGAAAAACAAATACTTTTCAGTAGTAGAACTACATGCTCTTTCTAGACTGTAGGTATATACATTAGGGTAATCCAAAAAAACGAACCTAACAAATAATTGCCTTAAAATAAATTGTTTATAATGACTTTTGCTTAAATTTTAAAATCAAAAGTTATCAACACAAATTCTATGGGACTGAGAAATATTCTTTTCTTTTTTTAGCCTATTTATAAAAGCGTGATATATTAAAATTTTTTTATATTTTATTTATTTTGTATCTTCTTCACTAGAGCAGTTTGACCTTATTATTCTCACTAAAGTTTGTGCTGCTTTTCTCATTGGTTCTAAAATTGTGGTTCGGCAATTTTATTTTAAAATAGTGGTTAAAGCACTTTGGCTAAATGAGTTCGGCCATTCCCCCTTTTTTCGACCGTGAACGGCTCCTTGACAGCAGCAACATTGCCTAATCGCCTACTCACCACGGCCCGTTCCACCCACGTACACATAATACACCTACACACACACATATACACATGAATTGTATTTACACATACACACACATGNATGAAACAAAACACAATTTGTCGATCATCGAGACGAATAGACGTGTTCTCCCCGCCAATTATATTTTAATAAAACCCCCTTCAACGTTAACAAAAAGATTGTTCCATACTTTTTTGTAGTGCCCTTCTGGTGGAAAAGTGGTCAGTGTGCCCCCCAAAGTGTTTGCCCTTGGTGTACGAATAACGATGGTCCTTCGAGCCGGATACTCGCGGCTTATTTTACATCCACTAGACGACAAGTCGTCTAGGGGGGCCAGGATGTTTAAGCGACTTATGCATTTCCCGCATAAACAAAGAACAGCGAACACACACACGCACTTGTATATTGCACTCCCGCCCAAAACCAAGTGCAGCGAATAAACACACGCACTTGTGCTTAAAAATAATTCGTTCGTTCTTCATTGGGTATGCATTTTTTAATGCACTTCTCAACTGACGCAGAACAAAACCTACTAAAGTAGTTAATTGCTGGCACTCCAAATCATGCTCAACAATTCCGCTTGATGCATCACCACTCCTCCGGAGTGGTTTTAAAGAGCAAAAGCCAAAGCCGCTACAAGCCGTAGGGACTCTGCATGACTTACAACCATGCAGAGGTGGTAACTGATGGTTATCATTGGCTCCGACGCCTACCCAAAACATTTTTGCTTTAATAAATTTTTATGCAAATACATTCATCCTGGTCCTGCCCTCACACTGAGTTAATCA